CATGCACACTGTGCAACTGAAGATTAAACCCGAGGCCTTTGCACTGAGCTGAATCTCCGGCCAGCACCACTCCTGGCGTGTTTGTTTGTTTGTTTGTTTGGTGAGGCAGGACCTCACTAAATTGCCCAAGGTAGGCTCGAACTTGCTATTCTCGTGTGTCAGCCTCCCTGAGTGCTGAAATAATGAGGGCCTCCATGCACAGCTGGGAAGATTGTTTCTTAGAGAATTAGCAATGTGTGTTAAGAACCTCCTGTAGCCACCATCACAAGACTGCCACAAACTGGCAGGCCTGGGAGTAGTGGCCAGGCCACAGCGTTAGTTCTGTAGTAAAGTGTCTGAAACCCAGGTGTCAGGGCCACATGCCCTCTGCTGCTCCAAGGATGCTGTCCATTGTTTGCTGCAGTATCTGGTGGCCTCATCCCAGTCCCTGCCTCTGTGCCACCTCTCCTGAGGACAGTTGTCCATTGTCCATGGAACGAGGGCTCCAGACAGCAAGATGGGCCCAAGATGATGACCTGGGCCCTCAGAATCCACCATCTGCAAAGAGTGTTCTTCCCAGTAAAGAGACGTCCTCAGGCCCTGAGGCTGAATATGTGGCCATCTCTGAGATGACCATCCCTCTGCATGTGCTGGACTGACCCCTCCTGTGGTCTGCGGACCAGCCTGCACTCCTGGATCATGGCCACCAGCCATCCTCACCTTCTGCCACTCAGTCCCCAGACCCAATGATGGAGATACTCTGTGAACAGTACCTGGTGACTACTGCTGTCCCTTTACCTGCATCCTGCTGACAGCCCTGAGCTGTGCCTGTTCTGTCTCCTTCTCCAGGCAGCTCCATGTGCAGTGCCCCTTGCCCACACCCCGTGCCCGGTGCCCTGTCCCTGACACCCCCACCTCGTGTAATGGTGCTGCTCTATCCTACAGGCACTCTATCTGCCTGATGACCCTGTCCTGCAGGTTGCTCGGCGGGTGGGAGTGGGGTGGGGGTAGGGGTTGGATCCTGATAGGCTAGCGGGCGTGTCACAGGTGCTCAGCAGAAAGCAGCGCCCAGCTCCTGGGAGAGCTTGGTAACCAAACCCCATCAGTCAGCACCCAGACCCCTGCTGCTTTCTGCAATCCTGGTTCTGGTTCTGAGACCTCTGTTGGGTGGAATGGTGCCACCTGGTGGCCCTAGTGGGTAGCTGCAGCTGAATCACATTTGTAAAATGTTTACCTGCTCCAAGGTCAACAGCACCCATTTGTGCCATGGTTGTGGGGTGGCTGTGAACACAGCAGGAAGGCAGACACCCCCAGTCCAATGGCCTTAGCTCCTGGACTCAGGAAAAGAGAGGAGTGAGGACCTGCGACCCGAAGCGTGACATGTGCAGTGTCCCAGAGGAGCAGAAAGGCATATTACTTGGTGAAGACCAGAGCATGGAAGGGCACATATAGAATGGTTCTGTGTAAATGAAACTTCTAGTCAGCCTCACTGGTGCGTGCCTGTGATCCTAACAGTCTGGAAGACCAAGGCAGGAGAATCACAGGTTTGAGCCCAACTTGGGCAACTCCAGTGAGACCCTGGCCCAAAATAAAGTTTTTAAAAAGTAGTAGGGGCTGGGGATTTAGCTCAGCGGCATAAGCACCTGCTTTGCAAGCAGGCAGTCGTGAGTTCGATCCCTGGTACCGATAAAAAGGAAAAAGACAAAAAAAAAAAAAAAGTAGTGGGGTTGTTGCTCAGTGAGAAGACCCTGACTTCAGTTCGTTTTCTCTCTCTCTCTCTCTCTCTCTCTCTCTCTCTCTGTTTCTCTCTGTTTCTCTGTCTCTCTCTCTTGTCTGTCTGTCTTTGTCCTTCTCTCACACCCCTTCCAGAAGGGGAGATGCACAGTGCCTCTAGTAGTGGCAGCTTGAGGTGAGAGAAGGAAGGGACACTGGCCTCGATGAGCTGGGACGGGGAGTGATGGTTGCACAGCTGTGTAAAGCAGCAGCTTAACAGCATGAGTCGCAACTGTCAGCCTGGTTTTTAAAAACTCATTCTTGCCTGGTGTGATGGTGCGCACCTGTAATCATGCACTTGGGAGGCTGAGGCAGGAGGATCATTGCAAGTTTGAGACCAGCCTGGGCTACAAAATGAGCTGAAGGCCAGCCTGAACTGCATAGAGAGACCCTGTCCAGAAAATACAAAAAACAAAACCCTATTACTGCACGTTGTGCTTCAGATCTGGGTCACGCGGTGAGAGCACAGCTGTCTTGGCTGGACCGGCTGAGCCCCTGACCCCCGTATCTCTGCCTGTGTGGTGGCTCTGTGCTCTGCTGAGGGTCAGCCCACTGTGTCAGGGGCTATGTCTTAGGACAGCTGCTTCAACAAGAGATGCCTCCAGAACTTGGGGATCCTCCCTTGTCCCCCAACCACCTCCCAAACGCCTGAGTCCTCAGATGATTTGGGGTCCTTGGGTGACATCCCCCCAGCGTGTTGGATGCCACACTGAGGGGAACTGGGCTTCACCCAGCCTGGGCCCTTGGTAACACAGACAGGGGCTTAGCCTGAAGGTGGGACTGGCGACGCAGCCTGCAGAAGCACTGGGCCTGCTGTGGCCCTTGGCGGGTGATTTTGAGGTTGTGCCGGGCACCGTGGTCTTTCTCTGGGGCTCAGGGTCTTGTTGGTTTGTCACTTCTCTAATAGATGATTGTGCAGTATGGTTTACAGCAGCACAGGGGCGGGCGATTTAGCTCAGCACCATAAGTGCCTGCCTGGTAAGCACAAAGTCATGAGTTTGATCCTTGGTACCAAAAAAACCAGCAGCAGGGAGGTTGAGGTGGGAGGATTGTTGCAAGTTTGAAGCCAGCCTGGCCTATATAGTGAGACCCTGTCTTAGAAAAAAACAACACTAAAAACAGCACAAGTGCCCCCCCACATACACAGTGGTGGAGCCAGGGTCCCCTGCAGCGCAGGCTGCTTCCTGACCCCATCCTCAGCGAGTCCTCCCTATGCTCAGGGTTGTTCCTTCGACCTGTTGAGGGGACATGGAGATTATGCTGGGCTCCACCGTGACCATGCATCCCCTTGTTAACCCACAGTCCCTTGGGATAGGGAATGTAGCAGTCCTTCCCTTTGCCTGTGTCACAATTGAGTGCAACTGTGCAGGCCTGTTCAGGACTGGAATGGAGCTGGCTTCGTTAGACCACCCATGCGATCCTCACCCACAGAGATGGCTCCCCACAGCCATCATCACCACACACTGGTGCCCTGTCATCTTGCGTGCCTCACTGTTAAACACAGTGTCACACTGCCTCATCATCCATGTGGATTATCATACACAGCCCCGGGGGTTTCCAGGACCAAGACACAAGTGTCGAGCAATGCAAAGCCTGTCCTGCACATTGTGGGCATTTCTAAAAAGGATTGATCTGTGGATCAATCACAAACTGAAAGACTGGCAATGTTGGTGCAAGACACATTCAGTAATACACAGTTTGAGGTGGGTGTGGTGACACCTGTAACCCTAGCACTCAGGAAGCTGAGGCAGGAGGATCGAGGCCAGCCTGAACCACAGAACAAGACTCTGTCTCCTACCAAAACCACACTGTTGACTAGGTAGTGGGGTGAGTGTAGCCCTGAGGTACAGCACTTGCCTGCGTGAACCCAGTTCTGTCCCAGCACCTGCACGCACATGCATACACCACAGTGAGAAAAAAGCCAGCCGATGCACCGTGGGCTCTTTCCAGAGAATGCTACCCCTGTCCACACAGCCCGAGGACACGGGGGTTCCCGATCACTGGTAGCCAGGGAGATATCCAGGAAGGTTGTGCCAGACAGCGTATTGGCTGGCTGGGCTGAGTCATCTGGCTGTGACAGGAATCGAGGGCTCAGAGTGGCTCGCACAGCCCCTCCAAGACACCCACGGTGTGATCTCATGCATGTGTCCGTGCCTCAATGCAGCCACTCTGCCTGCCAAGGTGCCCACATGTTTTTGTTGCAGGGCTTCCTGGAAGTTCGTGAGCATTTCCCAGCAGAACTTCACAGTAGGAAAGACCTTGGAACCACCCCCGCCCATCAGGGCAATAAATAACCTCCACAGCTACTGCAAATGGAAAAGCCCCAGGATAGCAGACCTGTTATCCCAGGCCTCAGGGAGGCTGAGGCAGGAGGATTGCAAGTTGGAACCCAGCCCGGGCAGTTTAATGAGACAGGGTCTCAGGATTTGATCTCCAGTATCATATTAGCAGAGGAAGTCATGGCGGTGCATGAGATGATGTGGGAAGGCAGGTCCCATGGCTGCTGCCTGGTCGAGCCAGAACTTTAGGTTTGAGTTTCAGCAGTTTACCTGAAGTGGGCCTTCAGGGCCTGAGAGCCAAGGGTAGGTGGAGAAGACACATCAGGTACCTCCGCCTAAGGCTAGAGAACAAAGGGCAGAGGCTGCCTGGTCCCTCCCCTGCCCTCTATGTCCCTGTGAGGTACAAGGAGGTCACTGGTGTCGCTGCAGAGCTGCTGGCAGAAATCCTGGCCTTTCTGCCAATGCCATGGTCCCCCTCATCCTGTGTCATTTTCCCCTTCACACTGTGGCCTCTGCGTCAGGAAGAGCTGGAGCTGTCCAAATCCTCTGTGCCCGTCACAGAGCCTCACACCACTCATGACCAATGCAGAGGGAGGACTCCCAACCTGCGCTGCTGCCTGTTCCCTGGGCCTGAGCTCCTGAGCTGGCCTGGTGCACAGGGCCGTCCTTTGGGTCCTGCCACCACTCACTGTCCTAGTCACCTTCCCATGGCTTCTGTGTCAGGTGAGGTATTAAGAGCAGCCTGGCACCCAGAGTACTCTGTACTCTGGGAGTACAGAGGGAGACCCCCTTCACCTATTTCACTGTCACAGTGCCCCAAGATTGCCACAAGGGACAGCAGTGGAACAGAGGCTCGTGTTCAGGACTGACCTGCAGGAGCAGTACCTTCCATGCTTGGGACCCTCCTTCACACTTAGGGACCCCAGTCTGGGAGGAAGCTCTGTACCTGGACCCCTGCCTTTCTTCCAGGGCCTCTGTACCTGCTCCTGGGCTTCACCAACCTTGTGCATCCTGAAGCCTGCAGCACCTAGGCCCACATTCTGGAACCCAGACAGCAATGCCCACAGGAAGAGGCCGATGCCCCACTCCACACCACACCCACGTGAGCTTCCTAGTACTGTCTGCATCTTCATGTAGCCAGCAGGACACCAGCAGCCTGCTGGTGCAGCGTCCCCAGGGCAGTCTCAGGTCAGCCCGGGCACAGGATGGCCAGTCTGGGCCTCTGAGTTTCCACCCCTTTCCTGCACTGCTCACTATGAACAGGGCCCATTGAGGCAGAGTTGAGACCTTGGCCCAGCTCCTCTATGCCCCTGGGTTCTGGGTGCCCAGAAGCAATAGTTGCTCTGAGACAGCACCAGGTCCCAGCTGGACCTGGGTGCACTGCTGCTCCGGCTGCACCCCAGAAAGACACTGCAGCCCCACAGCTGACACCAGGGCAGGTACTCCCCAAAGCAGTGTCCTGGCTGCAGGTGCGCTGGTCAGTACCCTCTGGATGACAGCCAACCAAGGAGCCAATAGCCTGGAACCCCACAGCTCTTTCACTGCAGACAGGCAGGCACCGTGCCTCAGTTTCCCTCAGAACATGGCAATGAATGCCCATGCTGTAGGCATGACCAGCTGCACATAGCAGTTTCCCTATCACAGGGTAGGGACTCCCATACTTGGCCCAAAGGGAAAAACCACCCCTTCCCTTACAGGTGACTCCTGATACCCCCTTGCAGGTTCAGAGCTGTGGCCCAGCAGAACAATAAGAACAACAAAAGCATTTCACAGGGCTGGACGTGGGGCCCAGGGCCTTGTGCAAGTGCTGTACAATGAACCACACCCCAGCCCCAAAGACAGAAAAGAGCCAGGTGTGGGGGAAGCCACCTAGGATCCCAGCACTTGCGGGACTGAGGCAGGAGGATGGCCATGAGTTCACAGCCAAACGGGGCTACATAGTGAGTTCAAGCCTGGCCTGTTTCAAAAACCAACATAGGCTGAGGATGTAGCTCAGTGGCACAGTGCCTGTCTGGCAAGTATAGGTCATGAGGTCCATCCTGGTACTGATAAATAAATAAATATAAATTAAAAAGGGAATAAAATAAATAAATAAAATTTTTTTAAAAAGGGAATAAATGTGTGGTTCACTATGACATAGAATACATTTTACCACATACTGGTCCATTTCCTTTTCTTCCCTAAAACACTTCTGATATTTCTCAAGCTCTTTCCTTCATTGTGGATTTCTAAGGTGCTTTGTTAAGAAGTGGAGACAGCTCAGTGGCTGAGTCCTCAGGAAGCAGGAAGGAGCCCTGAGTTCCATCCTCAGTGCAAACACAGCCTTGTTTACTAAGGACCTCAAGCTGAGTGCCACTGGTGAGGACCAGAGACCGCAGGCTGGGGTCATCAGCCAGGGCTCACAGCACTGGTAGCACAAGTTCCTTGCCTGGGAACCTGTGCCCCTCTGCAGAGCCTCTTCTTGCTCTAGCTCCTGATCCTGCAGGATGAGAAAGCCTCCACCTAGGAATGTGAAACCTTTTTTTTTTTTTTTTTTTTAATTTTGAGACAGGGTCTCACTATGTATCCTCGAACTCACAGTGATTTTCCTGCCTGAGCTCCGGAGTGCTAGAATTACAGGCATGCACCACCATGCCTGGCTGTGAATATGAAATCTTTGTGTTAAGTTCTTACAGTTCGGGGCTGGGGATTTAGCTCAGTGGCATAAGTGCCTGCCTTGCAAGCAGGCAGTTGTGAGTTTGATCCCTGGTACTGATAAAAATGAAAAAAGACAAAAAAAAAAAAATTCTTACAGTTGTTAAATTCTTCCAGAACTAGGGAACAGGGTTTTAGCTCAGCAGCATAAGTGCCTGCTTGGCAAATGCAAAGTGGGTGTGATCCCTCGTATCCCCCCAAAAAAATTCTTCCAGAACTATAGTCCTTTCCCCTGTGTACTTTTTCTCCTTTTTATGTGGTACTGGGGATGAACCCAGGACCCTCATACTGAGCTACATCCCTAGACCACTCATTCATTCATTCATTCATTCATTCATTCATTCTCTTATTTTTTATTTATGAAACAGAATCACACCTGAGTATAGTGGCGTACCCAGCCTTTGGGAGGCTGAGGCTGAGGCAGGAGGATCTTGCAAGTTCAAGGCTTGGGCTACAAAGTGAGCTCAAAGCCAGCCTGAACTGCATAGTGAGACCTGTATCAAAAAGACAGAAAAAAAGAAAGAAAAGTAACAGGATCTCACAAAAGGGCTGAATTACCCAGATTGGGCTCCAGCTTACATTCTTCCTACCTCAGCCTCTCTGACTCTGAGATTACAGGTGTGCACCACCAATCTGCCTCCTTTTCCTGTTTTCTTTTTCCTGTTTTACCACTTTCTCAACTGACTCTCACAATTCAGAGGCTCACACAGGTTTCCTGAAAAACCAGCCCTGTGCAGGGTGGAGGTGGTGAGGAGCAGCTCCTGGCAGTGCCCAGAGGCATCCACTCTGTATCTGGGTCGGCAGAGGTGACTGCATTCAGGGGTGGCACAGAGAGCAGGGCCAAGGGAGCTGGCAGAAGACTTCCTGCAGTGGCTCCAGTACAGGGCACCATAGGGACCAGCTGCTGGGCATGTAGTTCTGTGTCTATGTGAGAACAGTACTGAGCAAAGAGCTTGACCATGGCTTGTACTCTTTCTTGTTATTGAAGTTTGATTAGCACATTGAGTCTCCATGGGGAGGTGGCACCTGCGCTGAGGCTCAGAGGTCCTCAGAGGCCCGAGGTCTGTTCCCTTGCAAGCCTTTAGGCCACGCTGTCCAGGTAAAACATGGAGGTTCAAATCCTTGGTGCAGGCCTCATCCCACCCTGACCTTGCCACTCTCTGGCTACCTGGCCTCTGGGAGAAGCCCAGACTTGCAGTGGTAGGGAGGCTGGCCTGGTGCCCAGTGCACGCCTGTGACCTGCTAGGAGCCTAGGGGTGGTGCCCAACCCCGTCAGGTCCTGGGAAGCCTTGGGTTCAGCCAGAACACCCAAGGAAATGTGCCTCAGCATAGCACAAGGCCCACCAGGACTGACTTCTGTGTGTGGTCAGCTGTGGGTGCCCACCAGGCACTGGGCAGGGCTCAGCTGGAGGCAGGGCTGGCTCAGGCTGCAGGGCACCTCTGTCCTCTTCCCCAGTGATGGGGTTCATGGCTGCCTGAGCTGGTCTGCACCTGGTGTTGTGAGGCCCTGAGTGCCATCATGAGGCCAGGCAGGACAGACAGACGTGGACCCAGCTGCAGACAACAGGTGGCCCTGCTTCCACAGATGCCACTACCCAGGACAGAGCAGGTTGTAAGGCTGACAGGAACATGCCCTGGCGGACCTTGAGTCATGGGAGGAGGGCCTCCTGGGAGCCTGAAGCCTCCTGTCCTGCCAGTTGACATCCCCTCTGGGGTTTCTCTGGGAAATCCCAGGTGCTGCCCAGACCCGCTCCCCTGGAAAACCCGGCTCCTCCCTTCTCTGTCTCAGTGAGACTGCTCAGTCAGCTTATTCTGGTGAGTGTGAATGACTGTGTAGCCATGACTGAGAGCCTTGCCCAGGGCTGGGGAGGAGGCCTGGAGCCCAGAATCCCCTAAGTTAAGGAAGTTTGGGAGATGATTCTTGAGGATTGGTGCTGCCTGGCCTGTCTTGCATTGGAGAGGTCCGGGAATCAGAGAGCCTGGGGCTTTCCAACAGTGAGGTCCTGGAGGGTGTGGGCAGAGTCCAGCTGGCAAGGCAGACAGGTTTCCCGGGGTGTGGCTAGGCCCAAGGCCAGTGGGCTCTGCAGTGCACCACAGCTCAAAAGCACTTGTCCCCAACCTCAGCCTCCCCACACCACTGTGGAGTCTGGTAAAGGCCTTGGGAGGATCCAGCCACAGGGGAGGGTCAGCACCAGAGGAGGGTGGTGGATGGTGATGCCTAGGGCCAGTGAGTGGGAGGCAGGTCCCTAGACCAGCAAACGCTGCAGCAGGGGATTCTGACCTATGGTTGACACACGGGAGTGGTGATGCTGATGGAGCAGATGGCCAGAGGACAGTTTGGAGAGATGGTGAGTGGCAGGGCCTGCATGACAGGGACAGGTAGTTGGTTATTAATGAGATTAGAGAAATTTAAAGCTGGAGGAGGAAAGTAAAGATTATAAAATGGGGGTTGGGGGTCTGGGGATTTAGCTCAGCAGCACAAGCACCTGCCTGGCAAGTGTGAGGTTGTGAATTCGATCCCCGGTACCATAACAAAAGGAAGATTAAAAATGTAGCAAAGTTTGGCTGCTGCATGGGCACATGCTCATGGTTCCAGTGTTCAAGAGGCTGAGGCAGGAGAATCCGTGGACTCAAAGCCAGCCCAAGGTACACAGAGTGCTCAGGGCCAGCCCAGACTACATAGTAAGGCCCTAGCTCAAAACAAAATTATGGGAGAAGAGACCAAGATGGTAGAGCAGTAGGCAGCAGAGAAAACAGACTCTCTGAGAGTCACCATCCAAACCCTGGAATACGGCATCGTGAAGGAGACAGAGAGGGAAGTGGGTCCCCCGGACCCAGGAAGAATCTGAAGTGCCAACTGAAGCCCACCAGAGAGTGAAGAGAGGAACTCCAGCGAAGGAGGAGGTGCCGCCAGCATTTTCTCCCTGTACCAGGGAGAAGTTCAAACCTGCAGAACCAGAGTAACTATGATGGCAGCATAAGCACCTGTTTGGCAAGGGCAAAGTTGACAAGGATAAGTGATGGCCAATGACCCCAAGGGCCCCTGCAGAGAGCTGTGGGGGGCAGCAGATGTGGGGGACTGCACGGCCTGGCAGTGAGTGTGGAGAGCTCAGTCCTCCTGTGGGAGAAAGCCTTTAGCCGGGAGGCATCTTGGAGCTGGGCTGGCCTAGTCTAGAACTCAGAACCACTGCTGGCTCTGTCTAGCAGCTCCCAGGTACGCTAGACCCACAGAAATTGCTTGGATGGCAGCGAGCCCAATGAGCATGGTCTCAGGGCAGCCTGCTGAGATTTTCCTCTACCCAGCCCAAAAACTTCTGCTGGCTTGCTGGGAGAGAGAGCTGCATAAATCAGGACTCTTCCTCCACAGGTCGGCTACTAGTGAAACCAAAGAAAACCCTGTAAGGGGGCTTTTTCTTCTCCTAAGTTTACTTCTTCCTTCTCCTCCTCCTCTTCTTCTCTTTTCTTGTTTCTTTCTTTCTTTTTTCCCTTTCTTCTTCATTGTTTGATCTTGTTTTCATGAGTGTGAATGCAGTTCCTAGCCTCTTCATGATTGTGGTTCTGTTCTGTTCTTCCTTTTATCTCTTCCATCTCTTTTCCTTCATTCTTCTGCACCAGTTGCCCAAAGTTGGTGTGATCCTCCTTTGTCCTCCAACCTTATTCCTAATCTCTTCCTTTTCTTATACTTCTCTATTTGCTCATTAGTCCATTTTAAATTTTAACCTCGGTGGGCAAAACTAACTTGTATACTGCATATAATTTTCTGGTTTGTTTTAGATTTTATTACATAACCACAAACCTAGTTCATACAGTTAAAAGTGGCAAATTAAATTTTGTCATTCTCAAGGCTGTGTTTGATGCCATTGGTACCACTACAGCCAAAAGTGACATAATTGTTCTAAACAGCTGTTCCATGGAATTCCATGACTGAGATTGACTAAGGGTCACAGAAAATATGGTAGTACAGTGCCAAAGAGGCAGGGACCAGGCCAAACAAGCAACAACTTCTCATCTCCAACAAACTGAAGAGGTCAGATCTTCCAACAGACTCAAAACTCAAAACCAGCTATATCTGGAAGATACCTCAGAGAAGTAGTAATCACAGAGGGATCCTAAATACTAGCAATAAAGCAACCTAGCATAAACAATTTACAAGTATCACCCCAGGAATTAAACTAAAAAAAGAAAGAATGAAAAGACACTTAAAATGCAACCCCAGACATCAAGTTCATCAGATGCAAATCTAGGGGGCAGGGAGGTGGGACAGTCTGAAAGCCTCCTACCTGGCCTCCCTGTGGTGGTAGCAACAAAGCAGTTAACTGAAGCTCTGGAAAAGATGAAATCATAAGAATCTCTCAGGTAGTGGCTGGGGATTTAGCTCAGTGGCATAAGCACCTGCCTTGCAAGCAGGCGGTTGTGAGTTCGATCCCTGGTACCGATAAAAAGAGAAAAAGAAAAAAAAAAATTAAAAAAAAAAAATCTCTCAGGTGAAGATCGTGCTTTAGTGACACTGGAGCAGATACAGACAAAAAAAAAAAAAATAGATGGGTTTAGAAAATTATGGAAGCTTAGCATACAAAGGAAATGGAATCCATAAAACGGAATGAAGCAGATATCCAGGAGAATAAAAATCCCACTGATAGTATTCAAAGTAGATTAGGCCAGTGTGAGGACAGATCTCAGAAATTGAAGACAGGCTTTCAGTTAACAACCAGGAAAAGGAAGATTTCTCAAAAATGGCAAGGGACCATGAAAAATCAACCAGCAGCTGCCAGATGAGACAAAGAAGAATAAGATTAATTGGAGTCAAGAAAGAAGCACAAGATACCACAAATGATATTAAAACAGTATTCAAAGACATCATGGCAGAAAACTTTCCTGGTAGAGAAAAACAATTAGACATACAAATAAATGAGGCATATAGGACTCTTATTAGCCATGATCAAAAAATTCTATATTGGGCCAGGGATTTAGCTCAACGGCATAAGCACCTGCCTGGCAAGTGCAAGGTCGTGAGTTCGATCCCTGGTACCAAAAAACAAACAAATAAACAAACAAAAAAATTCTATAGCCAGATACATCATAGTCAAGACTCCAGAAATTCAACACAGGAATGGAATCTTAAAAGCTGTCAAAGAGGGGCTGGAGATTTAACTCAGCGGCATAAGCGCCTGCCTTGCAAGCAGGCAGTCGTGAGTTCGATCCCTGGTACCAATAAAAAGGAAAAAGACAAAAAAAAAAAAAAAAAAAAAAAAAAAAAAAAAAGACACAACACACAAATCACCTATAAGGAAAGCCTGACAAATCACAGCTGGCTTCTTGTACAAACTCTCAAGTCAAGAGAGCGTGGAGTAACACATTCCAATTTCTAAAAGAAAACAGCTTTCAACCCAGACTGATGTATCCTGCAAAATTATCTTTCAAAACTGATGGAGAAATAAGATACTTTCATGACACAGAACATCTGAGGACATGTATAACCACCAAACCAGCACCCCAAAGTGTTCTGAAGGACATTCTAGAAAGAGATAATAAGGACTATAGCTCCATGAACCCCAACAGAAGGAATCCACAAAAAAAAAAAAAAAAAAAAAAAAAAAGGAATCCACCAGGCTAGGCAAACAATTGTTAAAGGGAAAAAGTGGGGTGGGGGAGCCAACAACAGGAAAATAACATGACAAGGATAAGTCGATCCACATCAGTTATAACCATCAATGTTAATGGTCTCAAATCACCAGTCAAAAGAAATGGATTGGCCTAATGGATCAAGAAGCGAGATCCAACAATATGCCACTTACAAGAAACACATTGAATTCAATAAGAAATTCATGAACTGAAAGTCAAAGATTGGAAAACAATACTCCATGCAACAGGAACTCAGAAAAAAGTAGGGGTAGCTATTCTTTTTGAAGACAAAGTGAATTTCAAGGTAAGACTGATTAAGAGAGAGAAAGAAAGAAGGTCACTGCATCCTAGTAAAGGGAACAATCCAGGAGGAAGACATAACAATCATAAATATATATGCACCAAATATGAGTATACTTGACTGTATGAAACAAATACGGACATGAAGAGTCAAGCCTTTATATGGTCAGATTGGGAGATCTCAGTACCCCCACTGTCTAGTGGATATCTGTAGGGTGTTCCACCCCTCAACATCAGAATACATATTCTTCTCAGCTGTACTTGGGATTCTCCAAAATAAACCACATACTGGCCCATAGAACACGCTTAAGTAAATGCAAAGGAATGGAAATGACCCTATGCATACTATCAGACCACAGTGCAATGAAATTGGAAATCCATGGCAAAAGAAACTGCAAGAACTACATAAACATCAAAATTAGGGGCTAGGGATTTGCTCAGCAGCATAAGCACCTGCCTCGCAAGCAGGCAGTCATGAGTTCGGTCCCTGGTACCGATAAAAACGAAAAAAGACAAAAAAAAAAAAAAAAAATTAAATAGCACCCTGCTGAACAGCCAATGGGTCACAAATGAAATTAAAGAATTAGAGTTTTTGTAAGTGAACAATGATGACAGGATGACACACCAGAACTTGAGACACAGTGAAAGCAGTCTAAGACGGAAATTTATAGCAGTAAATACCCATATCAGGAAAACAGAACAAGCGCATATCAACAACTAATCGTGAACCTTGGACTTCTACAGAAAGAACAGGCTAAGCCAAAAGCTCACACAAGGGAGGAAATTATAAAGATCAGAGCAGAAATTAACACATTGGAGACTAAAAAAACAATACAGAGAATCAATGAATCAAAGAGTTGGTTCTTTGAAAGATTAAATAAAATTGACAAACCCTTAGCCAACCTTATTAAAAAGAAAGGGAAGACTCAAATCCATGCAATTAGGAATGAAAAGGATGAAATCACCATAGACCCTGCAGAAATTTAGCAGGTCATCCATACCTACATTGAAAACTTGTATTCTTTTTTCTCCTTTTTTCAAAATCCATTTTAATTCAAGAATAAAAAGAAAAGGGGCTGGGGATTTAGCTCAGTGGCATAAACACCTGCCTTGCAAGCAGGCGGTCGTGAGTTCGATCCCTGGTACCGATAAAAATGAAAAAGACAAAAAAAAAAAAAAAAAAAAAAAAGAATAAAAAGAAAAAAGAAAGAAAACTTGTATTCTAATTAGATGGAAAATGCAGAAGAAATGGACAGATTCCTAGATATATATGAATTACCAAAACTCAATCAAGATGTAAAAATCCTAAATAAACCAGCATCAGTCAATGAAATCAAAGAAGTAATTAAAAACCTATCAATTAGAATCCTTTGGGGGGAAAAAAAAAACCTATCAACAGAGAGAGAAAAATCAGGGTCTCCCAAGAATCAGCCATGCTGGGACTTGGGGGAGCAACCACCAAAGCAATGAGCCAACCTTCCTGGTGAGCAACACAAGCTGCAGGCGTGCCAGGGAGAGGAAAGCCAGCCTCTCCCATGAGCCTACAAGTGCGTGGGCTGAGAATGAAACAGCCTTCCCAGTTGTCCCCCAAGTAGCGTGGTTCCCCCATCCCCATTAACAACCAGATGGTGTTGAGGACAGCCAGAGTTGATAGCAACTAAGGCACATAAAGCAAGTAAATGCTTGTACCGTTGGATTGATTCTGCTGACCTGAGGTCAGAAGTCTGAGCATCTCTTGGGAGAATGACAGAGTGCAGTATAGCAAACATGGGGGATTTCCTTTTGTCTTCTCTTTGAACGCAGATGTTGTTTTCACTGTTTTGCTTTGTTCTGATTAATTGTCTTGCTCTATTCAATATTGTCTTTTGATCGGTTTATAGTATTCTGTTTTTGGTTTGATTTTGCTATACCTGATTGAATGTACAACTACTGTGAAGATAACAAGATACACTATGGAATCTATAACTGGTATCCTGGTGTCCTGCCCTAAAGTTCTGTACCAATTTCACTGCACTGTCTTGATTGGCTTTGTTCTGTCTGGTTTTGGTGTATTTTCCTACCTTTAAAAACAAAACGAAACACAGACTGGGAATTCAGCTCAGCAGCACAAGTGCCTGCCTGACAAGTGCAAGGTTGTGAGTTCAATGCCTGGTACCAAAAATAAGTGAATAAATAAATATGAGAAGTTTAAGTAAATAAATATCTCCTAAAACAAAACAAAATGAAACAATCTATCAACAAAGGAAGCCCAGACCCTGACAGATTCACTGTGAATGAATTCTAAAGAAATTTAGAGGAAACCTAACACCATTACTTCTCAAACACTTTAATGAAATTGAAAGAGAAGCAATATTCTCAAATTCATTCCTAGAAGCAAGCATTACTATGATACCAAAACCAGAGAAGGACCCAACTAAAAGAATTACAGGAAAAAAAAAAAAGAGAGAGAGAGACAGAATTACAGGCCAGTCTCCCTAGTGAACACTGATGCAAAAATCCTCTGTAAGATATTGGCAGACTTGGGCTGGGGATTTAGCTCAGTGGCATAAGCGCCTGCCTTCCAAGCAGGCAGTCGTGAGTTTGATCCCTGGTACTGATAAAAAGGAGAAAGACAAAAAAAAAAAAAAAAAAAAAAAAAATACTGGCAAACCAGAGCTGGGGATTTAGCTCAGAGGCATAAGCACCTGCCTGGCAAGTACAAGATTTATGAGTTCAATCCCTGGTACAAAAAAAAAAAAAAAAAAAAAAAAAATGGATACTGGCAAACAAGGCAGCAAATTGTCAAGAAGATTTTACACCATTATCAAGTAGGATTCACCCCAGAGTTGCAGGGATGTTTCAACACACCTAAACCCATAAATACACCATATTAAAGGAGCCAAGGACAAAAATCACGTGATCATCTCAATAGATACAAAAAAAACTTTTTTTTTTTTTTTTGTCTTTTTCCTTTTTATCAGTACCAGGGATCAAACTCACGACTGCCTGCTTGCAAGACAGGCATTATGCCACTGAGCTAAATCCCCAGCCCCTAGAAAAAACCTGACAAAGTCCAGCACCTATTCATGATAAAAAAACCCTACAGAAAATTAGAAAAGATGGTTTTAATCTCAATCTGATAAACGCCATCTTTGGCAAACCAGCAGCCAACATCATACTAAATGGGCAAAAATTGAAAACTATCTCTCGGGGCTGGGGATTTAGCTCAGTGGCATAAGCGCCTGCCTTGCAAGCAGGCAGTCGTGAGTTCGATCCCTGGTACCGATAAAAATGAAAAAGACAAAAAAAGAGAAAAAAGAAAAAAGAAAACTATCTCTTTAAAATCAGGAAAAAGATGTCCACTGTCTCCACTCTTATTCAACATAGTCCTGGAAATTTTAACTGGAGCAATTAGACAAGAGAAAGAAATAAAAGGAATAAAGACAGGAAAGGAAAGCCAGGCGTGGTGGCTCATGCCTGTAATCCCAACACTCAGGAGGCTGAGGCAGGAGGGTCATTGCAAGTTTGAAACCAGCCTGGACTACAAAGTGAGCTCAAGGCCAGCCTGAACTGCATAGACAGACCCTGTATCAAAAAGACAAAAAAAAAAAAAAAAAAAAAAAAAGGGAAAGGAAGAAGTTAAACTATTGTTATTTGCAGGTGACATGATACTCTACATTGAAGATCCCCAAAACTCCACTAAGAAACTGGTAGATTGGCTGGGGATTTAGCTCAGCGGCATAAGCGCCTGCCTTGAAAGCAGGCAGTCGTGAGTTCGATCCCTGGTACCGATAAAAATGAAAAAGACCAAAAAACAAAAAAAAATAAGAAACTGGTAGATTTAGTAAGCAAATTCAGTAGTATAGCTGGCTACAAAGTCAACATTCAAAACTCAACAGCAGGGGCTGGGGATTTAGCTCAGCAGCATAAGCACTTGCCTTGCAAGTGTGTGGTTATGAGTTCGATCCCCAGTACCAATAAAAAAGAAAAAGACCAAAAAAAAAAAAAACTCAACAGCCTTCCTGTACCCAAATAACAAAACTCACTGAGAAAAATCAGGGAAACAATGTGTTTTACAATAATATCAAAAAAATTGAAATATCTAGGAATCAATCTAATGAAGGATGTAAGAGACCTCTACACTGGTAACCACAGTGCTCTGTAAAAGGAGATTGAAAAGGATACTAGAAAATGGAATGATATCTGATTCGATTGGTTAGGAAGAACTAATACAGTGAAAACTCTTCCAAAACTCTTACTACAGATTCAGTGCAATCCCAATCAAAATTCCAATAGCATATCTGACAGAATTAGAGAAAATAATCCTAAAATTCATCTGGAACCAGAGGATACCTAGAGTAGCAAAGGCAATCCTGGGCAAAAAAGACAAGATAGGACATCACAATCCCTGACTTGAAATTATACTATAAAGCTACTGTGATTAAAAAAAAAAAAAAAAAAACAGCACCGTAAAACAGGTATAGTGGTGCATGTCTGTAATCCCAGTACTTGGGAGCTGAGGCAGGAGGATCCCTGCAAGTTCAAGGCCAGCCTGAGCTACAAACTGAGTGCAAGATCATCCTGAACTGTATAACAAGACTCTGTCTCAAAAAGCACCCCCCCCCCAAAAAAAAAAGGTGTGATAAAAAACGGACTCGGAATAAAAAAAAAAAACCAGACTCAAAGATCAGTGGAACAGATTAGAAGGAGAACAACTCCAGATGCACATGCCAAAGATTAAAGTTGGACCCATATCATCCTCTTCTCCTTCTTCTTCTTCCTCCTCCTCCTCCTCCTCCTCCTCCTCCTCCTCCTCCTCCTCCTCCTCCTCCTCCTCCTCCTCCTCCTCCTCCTCTTCTTCTTCTTCTTCTTCTTCTTCTTCTTCTTCTTCTTCTTCTTCTTCTTCTCTCCCCCTCCTCCTCCTCCTCCTCACCTTCCTCCTCCTCCTTCTCCTTCTTCTTCTTTCCGTCTTTTTGAGACAGGGTCTCACTATGCAGTTAAGGCTGGCTTTGGGCTCACTTTGTAGCCCAGGCTGATGTGGAACTTTCATCGATCCTCCTGCCTCAGCCTCAGGAGTGCTGGGATTACAGGAGTGTGCCACCACACCTGGCTGGACTCATATCTTTTACCTTGCATTAAACTAAATTTCAAATGGATCAAAGGTGTTAGTATTACAGCAGAAAGATTAAATCTGCTGGAGATTTAAAGTAGGTAAAACTCTTGAAGACATTGGTGTAGGCAAAGACTTTATGAATAAAACCCAGATTGCACAGAAACTGTCACAAAGAATCGACAACTGGTATCTCATCTTACTGAAATACTTCTGCACAGCAAGAGAAAACACCCAACAGAGTGAAGAGACCACCCACAGTGTGGGAGAAAATGCTTGTCAGCTGTTCCTCAAAGGACTGCTATAAAGAGCTAAAAAAAAAAAATTAGTCCTCCCAGGTTAAAAAACCCAACCCAGGGGCTGGGGATTTAGCTCAGCAGCATAAGTGCCTGCCTTATAAGCAGACAGTCATGAGTTTGATCCCCGGTACCGATAAAAAGACAAAAAAAAAAAAAAAAAAAACCCAACCCAAAATGGGCATCTGAGGGGCTGGGGATTTAGCTCAGTGGCATAAGCACCTGCTTTGCAAGCACATGGTCGTGAGTTCGATCCCCAGTACCAATAAGAAAAAAAATGGGCATCTAAGATGAATACACAGTTCTCAGATGAAGAACTACAAATAGCAAATAAATACATGAAGAAATGTTCAACATCATTGGCTATGTGAGAGATGCAAATTAAAATAACACAGATTTCTCCTCACCCCAGAAGGGCCAGGGATTTAAGCTCAGCCGTGTAAGCACCTGCCTGGCAAGTGTGAGGTCACAAGTTTGATCCCCCCACCCCAAGAAGGAAAGAAATCAGCCAATAACAAGTACGGGAAGGACTGTGAGGGAAAGGAATGTGGAGTACCCTCATGGTGTACCGTTTCTCATCATTGATAAGAGTGTACAGTGGTCCGATCAGTATACAGACTGCTCAGAAAATGAGGATTGGGGATCCCCTTTGACCCAGCTATTCCCCATCTGAGTATCCTCATAGCAGAATTTAAAAAGTCATACCATGGCCATGTAAGTGCATCCATGTTCATAGCAGCACAATTTGTAATGACCAGATCTTGCCCTAAATGCCCACTGAGTGAGGAATGGATAAAAAGATGTGGTACTTTTATACTTTAGAGTACTACTCAGCCATAAAGGACACACTGGAGACTTTTATCAGTAACTGGATAAAACTTGAGTCCATAATAAATCAGATATGCATATGTAAGTGTCATGTTGTCTCACGAATGTGACAAGCTGAAAAAAACGAGACCACTGCACCGCCCCTGGCGCTTGTGCACAAGCCGGCCTCCCTGTAGCTTGCAGATTCCTCCAAGATCTGCAGCTCTGCTGAGGAAGAATATACACTCATATATACATAAATGTAAGTATATGAAACAATATATATTTATGAAACTATATATATATATATACATAAAATATAGTTAAGATAGTTATACCACTGATTTCTCTGTACACTGAAGAGAAAGGTTTGCACTGGTATTGTTCAAAGAGTTGAATGCACATGTCCTGTGCTGTGAGTGACTGAATTGGGAGTGACAATGTGCAATGTGTGTACCATTGATGTCTCCTGATTGTTGTTTTATGAAATGTTGGGTTTTTTTTTCTCTTTGAAATAAAATGGATTGGAAAAGCAATCACACATTTCACTTTATGTGCATTTTGCCTAATGTCTGCTCCCTCAAGAACACTCAGGACCTGCTTGCTCACACCCCAGATGCACAAGCCCTCTTTTGTGGTGTGGTCTCAGGAGGCTTTCATAGACACTGCTAGAAGAAGGTGGCATGGTCCCTGGAAACACTGAAAAGCCAGGCTGGGCCTGCTTTTCTTCAGCATATCTGCAGATCTGTGAAGAATCTGCAAAATACAGGGAGTCACTGTGCACAATCGCAGGGGTGTGGTGTGGTGAGCGTGGAGTCAAAGGTGAGTGTGGAGTCTGACGTGAGTGTGGTGCCTGAGGTGAGTGTGGAGTCTGAGGTGAGTGTGGAGTCTGAGGTGAGTGTGGAGTCTGACGTGAGTGTGAAGTCTGAGGTGAGTGTGGTGTCTGAGGTGAATGTGGAGTCTGAGGTGAGTGTAGAATCTGAGCTGAGTGTGGTATCTAACGTGAGTGTGGAATCTGAGGTGAGTGTGGTATCTGAGGTGGAAGAAGGTGGTGTCTGAAGTGAGTGTGGTGTCTGAAGTGAGTGTGGAGTCTGAGGTAAATGTGGAGTCTGAGGTGAGTGTGGTATCTGAGATGAGTGAGTGTGGAGTCGGAGGTGAGTGTGTTGTCTGAAGTGAGTGTGGTATCTGAGGTGAGTGTAGTCACTAAGGTGAGTGTGAAGTCTGAGGTGAGTGGTGTCTGAGTTGAATGGTATCTGAGGTGAGTGTGGAGTCTGAGGTGAGGGTGGTGTCTGAGGCAAGTGTGGAGTCTGAGGTGAGTGTGGAGTCTGAGTAGAGTCTGCAGTCTGGGGTGAGTGTGGTGTCTGGGATGAGTATGATATCTGAGATGAGTGTGAAGTCTGAGGTAAGTGCGGTGTCTGATTATAGTGTGGTGTCTGAGGTGAGTGTAGAGTCTGAGGTAAGTGTGGAGTCTGAGGTGAGTGTGGTTTCTGAGATGAGTGTGGAGACTGAGGTGAGTGTGGAGTCTGAGGTGAGTGTGGTGTCTGAGGTGACTGTGGAGTTTGAAGTGAGTGTAGAGTCTGAGGTGAGTGTGGAATCTGAGGTGAGGGTGGGGTCAGAGATGAGTGTAGTGTCTGAGGTGAGTGTGGTGTCTGAGTTAGTGTGGTGTCTGAGGTCAATCAGGAGTCTGAGAAGAGTGGTATCTGAGATGACTGTGGTGTCCGAGGTGAGTGTATACTCTAAGGTGAGTGTGGTGTCTGAGTAGAGTCTGGAGTCTCCGGTGAGTGTGGTGTCTGAGGTGAATGTGGAGTCTGAGGTGAGTGTGGTATCTGGGGTGAGTATGGTGTCTGAGGTGAGTGTGTTTTCTGAGGATAGTGTGGTGTAGGCCAAGTGTGGGGTCTGAAGTGAGTGTGGTGTCTGAGGTGAGTTTGATGTCTGAGTGGAGTGTGGAGTCTGAGGTGAGTGTGATGTCTGGGGTACCTGGTGTCTGAGGTGAGTGTGGAGTGTGAGGTGAGTGTCGTGTCTGAGGTGAGTGTGGTGTCTGGGGTGAGTATGGTGTCTGAGGTGAGTGTGGTGTCTGAGGTGAGTTTGGTGTCTGAGTGGAGTCTGGAGTGTGAGGTGAGTGTGCTATCTGAGGTGAGTGTGATGTATAGGTGAGTGTGAAGTCTGAGGCAAGTTTGACTTCTGAAGTGAATATGGTGTTGAGGTGAGTGTGGAGTCTGAGGTAAGTGTGCTTGCCTGTGGTGTGTTCATGTGTGATGAGGTTCCTTGGTTTGGAATTTGGGCTCACAGTGTCCTTCGTTGCTATCTTAGAGGTGGCTGCCCTCTTACTGTGTTGACATCTAACAAAAAGGGAACCTCCTGGTAGTTCCCACCATGATCTCTTGCTGGGGTGTTGCTCTTTGTGGTGGGAAAGAGGCTGCCTGGGACTGAGTGACCACCTTCACACCTAATTTAACATATAAATTATCGTGGGTTCGCGTAGGAGTGATTATAACCAGGTGTTACCAGAGAAGAATGCCCCAAGGGGCCCCAAAGGTCTGGAAAGTCAGTTGTTTGCTTTTATTTTTATTTTTTTGCAGTGCTGGAGATGTTACCAAGAGCCTTGCTGTGGGGCTTAGGCTTGGCCACTACACTGTCCCCATGCCCACGGCCACATCATGGTCACATTCTAGTGACTGTTCTATCGGAGAGGCCTACATGCCTCTCCCTGTCATCTGTGGGCATGCAGTGTTCATGCAAGACACTGGCTGGTGTGGGAGTTTCCTGATCTCAGGGTGGGTCAGCCGCCTCCCCCTGGGGCCACCTAAAGCCCTGGAGGGATAATAGCCCCCTGGCAGATGCAAAAGAGCCCAGAGTGGTGCCAGGGAGGGAGCCCAGGGCCACCCCGATGGACTAGTACTGTCCTCATCCTACAAGAATGTGGCCTTAGGGCTGATCATCATGGCACATACCTGTAATGGCAGCATTTGGGAGGCTGAGGCAGGAGGACTGCTGAGAGTTTGAGGCCAACCTCGGCTATAAAGTGAACGTGAGGTCAGCCTGTCTCAAAAAGATAAAAGACCATGCCGGCTGTGGGGCTTCATGGACTCCCTTAGGTTTCGACTCGATTGCTGACTTCCATATTTAGCAGTCCTCAGCAAGGTTGCCTCCCAGATTCTAAGGGAAGCAATAGGGGCTGGAGATAGGGCTCAAGTGGCACAGCGCCTACCTGGCAAGCGCAAGGTCATGAGTTCGATCCCTGGTGCAAAAAAAAAAAAAAAAAAAAAAATCTGCAGCCAAGAGAAGACAGGAGTAAGGAGAGGTCCACCAGTTGGTGCCGCTTCCTGGCTGCTGTAGTTCAGACCTTACCTTCAAACACGGCCTTGAGGCCACCCTCCGTGCCACCTGGAGGAAGGTTTCACAGACCAGGCCACTCATGAAATCCCTTTGGGCTTTTTCTTTTTTTACTGAAATAAGTGTGGGCGTAGTTGTAAACCATTCCAAGACCTTGGTGCTCGACTTGGTGTCCAGGATAGTCATTTCGTGTCACAGCAGGCTCTGCACAAGCAGTCTCAGTGTCACCCCTCAGTCTTACTGGCATCTTTTTCCTGGTGTCACGACCCAAACTCAAGACCTTGCACTTGCCAGGCCGGCACTGTGCACTAGGCTGCATCTCCGGCCCCTCTGCCCTCAGCCTTACTGTTCCTGTGCACAGGCTCTCTGTGGTGTGAGAGGACGTGGTAGATGAATGTGGGGTGTGCAGAGTACTCTGTGGTATGGGCTGTGGCATGGTGTGGTGTCCCGTGCTGTACAGTATTTGTGAATGTGGTGTGCTGAGTGTGTATCCTGTGTGTCTGTGGTGTGGCATCTGTGGTGTGGTATTGGGTGTGATGTGGCGTCTGCTGTGGTACAATGAAATGTCTGTAATGTGGTGTGCTGTGATGTGCTGCAGTGTCTGTAGAGTGGTATGTGCTGTGGTGATGTTGTGGGAAAATTCCAAAGCCAAGCCAAGCCAAACCAAACCAAAAGGGAGACTGCACTGAGAAGAAAAAAAGGCAGCGTTTAATCTTCACACCAACCTACTGTTGGATTCCACACACTCTTGTGTAGCACCCAGTAGCCTGTGTAGCACCCAGCCCCACCCAATTTGGAGAATTCCTCCAAAGCGTCCTCCCCCAATCAGGAGGCCTTTAGTCCGAATGGAAAGAAGTGGGAGGTGCAAAGCAAGTGGCCAGGCATTACGTGATTGGTCACACACACTGTATCACATGTTGACAGGCTGGTCCTGAAACATTAGCAACACTCCAGGAACGGGGGTGGAGTCTCACAGAGGGAGCACAGTTAAGGGCATTGCTTTGATAGAGAAGAGTTCTGGAAAAAAAATGTGTCCTGGAGGCAGTCAACCCAGGGTGCCATGAGGCGCACCCAGTACTCTGACTCAGCGCTCACCTGCAACTGGGCTGTGGACACTGTGGGGGTTAGCTGAACCCACCAGAAACAGCAGCTTGATCAGAGCAGCTTGATCTCTAACTGACTGTGAAATACCTGTAGGGTCACCATCTCATGGCTGTGTTTTCTGTGTAACTGTGCCCCAGCTGTGTGGTGTGAGTGTGGTTGTCTGTGTGCCCTGACCCATAGGACTTGTACGTCTGGGCAGGGACACCGCGGCCCCTGCAGGGTCTTCCCAGATCCACGTCACCCTGTTGTCCCTCACTCTTGCTCCCAAGAGCTCCCCTCTTCTCCGTTTCTCTGTTGGATCTGTCTTCCTGGGCCCAGAACCCAGGCGTCTCCTGCCCTAGGCTGAAGCTGCACACTGAAAGCACCTGTCACACCTGTTACTCAAACAGTGTCCCTTCACGACAGCACACAGACGTGGCTTTGGCTTTTTTTTTCAGCAAAACTGGTGTTGGCCGTCAGGCCTCTCAAACATGCCGGGGTTTGGGCCCCGTCCTGGTCTCCCTGCACAGACTGTTGGCTGCTGTCCAGGTGGCCAAAGCTGGGTTCCGCTCTGTCCAGCTGTAAACAGAACTCCCCACCCAAGGACGGGCGCAACACCACCATGAGCTGGCTAGGGCAGAGTGGAATTGGTGGGACCAAGAGAGCCTGTGTAGCACCGAGCCCCACCCAAGCAGTGCCCACCACACCTGCAGTGTGACCACATGGCCTGGCCCTGCCTCAGAGCTCTGCTGGACACTGGGTGAGATGGGCCTGGGGCAGGAGGAGGGTACCCAGTGGATCCCGGCCAGTTCCCAGCCACACAGAGCATTGCCAAGGGGCCAGCAGGGTAGATAAAGAGTCTCTGACCCAGAAGCACTGACACGGGGGATGGGGAGCCAGTGGCCCTGCCCTGAACTCACACAGCACACACGTGGCGTGATAGGTTAAGTGCCCTGTAAACTTGCACAATTACTATGTGTCAATTAATAATTTGAAAACTAAAAACAGAAATGCTCATATCCTGCAGAGGGCTCTAGGTGGCTAAGGATGGCATCCCAGTGGCTTCTCCAACATGACTGTCAACATGACATCACAGCTGTCACCCTCCCTCCCAGAGCCC